AAAGCAGTACCTTAGAACGACCCATAGTCTCAAAGTGCCGCAAGTTGTATTGTGAATGCAGATGGGCTGTTGATATTCCTCGTGTTGGGCTCCTGTGCAACAAAATGATGTTAACCTCCGACTGGAGGTTAAAGCGTAAAATGACTACTGGTTTAATAGACTGAGATTAGTGGTTATTGGGCGAAGAGATATATAGATTCGAAAGACCTATACAAACAGGTTCATTTTGCCCATTATTTTAGTGCTGAAGAAATTAGAGGCATAACTTGAGATGAGTTGTCTAAATTCATTCGAATCCTCCCTTTGAATACAATGCCTCTTTTGTGGTTTCATCTTGGATTACCTTTAATACATCTTGATTACAATTTTTGCAGATACATGGGGCTAAAAACCTTGTCGGATGCAAAGAGACTGCACACCATCATGCACCAGTGTTTTATATGGGATTAATGGATGCACAGTTAATTGTTGGCAAAACGTACGTGCAATTAATCTTAATGTTGATGCAAATACCTGTGTCCTACTCCGTCTTATTATAGCTTGATTCATGCCTAGTCCATTGATGTCATGAGCTTAGGAAAATGAGATGGATTTATGTAAGTATATGCACTTATGTGAACTAGGAGAGAGGGTGAATGCTTGGTTTTATTGAGTACATCAGGATAAGTGGGGTGTTTAAAGTCATCACAACTGCGTGGATGAAGAATTGACATTCAACATACCCTGATGACAGTAAAATGTGGTAACTTTGCGCTACATCTACGGGTGCAAATACCTTTGCACTCCAAAATGATTGCAAACAGGGCAAAACGAAGATGGGAGGGAGGACTATCGTCACCCACCATTTATTTATACGTCTACTATTATGTCATTCTTTACTTCAAGAGTAGGCCTGTCAAAGTTCTTCCTTCTGCCAACCCCTGAAAAATATGCGCTCAACATTAAAACATGAGGATTATCTCTTCTTTAACTGTAGGTGCTTTTGTTTTGCAAAACTCTCTGTTGCAGCCTATTCAACGGTTACGACCGCAGCTGAAATCGAAAAATTGGATTTGGGTAAGAGACCATTTGATCTCACTCTGATCCATTTTATAGGACAAAACTCAACTCTTAATGTATAAGACGAAATTGATGCGAAC